GGGCCGCCGCCCCCGCCGTCGTGCCGGGTCGCGGGGCGGCATGAACCCGCGGCCGCTGCGCTAGCGTCCCGCTCCTCCGCGCGGAGGCCCGGCTGCGGTAACGGGCGCTCGGGGCCGGATCGGGGGCCATGAAGCCGAGTCCGGCCGGGACGGCGAGGGAGCTGGAGCCGCGCGAGCAGCGCGCGGCGGAGCCCGAGGGACGCTGGCGGGAGAAGGGCGAGGCGGACACGGAGCGACAGCGCACCCGGGAGCGGCAGGAGGCCACGCTGGCCGGGCTGGCGGAGCTGGAGTATCTGCGCCAGCGCCAGGAGCTGCTGGTCCGGGGCGCCCTGCGCGGCGCCGGGGAAGTGGGGACCGTAGTGGCGCGCGCTGGGGAGCTGCCGGGGGAGGCGGCGCAGCGCAGCCGTCTGGAGGAGAAGTTCCTGGAGGAGAATATCTTGCTGCTGCGAAAGCAGTTGGTAGGTCGTGCCCAGAGATGGGGCACGGGTGTCCCCGCCGCGGGGCTGGCGGTCGGGCAGGTGGGCTGGGGAGAGTCTCGCAGTTTGGGGTCCCCCCTCCGCTCCTCCGCCCCTCCGCCCCTCCGTCGCTCCTCCGCCCCGAGCCCATGGGCTGCCGACGCCCAAGCGTTCCTAGCGTGTGCCGGCTTTGTGTCTGCAGAGGGGCCGGCTACCTCGCGTGGGTTGCGGGGAGCTAGTGGCCGCTCTTCAACTCTGCCTTCGGGATTCGTGGAGTCGCCTGGTTCTCACCTTCAGTTGCCCTAGTGAGACGAGTACTTGCCCTCTCCCCAGAGGTTTGCGAACCTCCGCTTAAAATACTATTTCATTTGGAGATCTTGCCTCCGCTCCTCCCGCCGAGAGGGGACAAAAGCCAAGGAGGGGGTTTGTGGCGAGGCGAACCGGCTAGAGTTTTTCGATTCCGCTGAAGCGCCCCGGAGGCCAAGCCTCCGGGGCGCTCCGCGGAGTGGCAGCTCCCGGACCCGGCTTCCCATAGACGCCCTTTGTAGCGCAGCCCGGCTAGATAGGAGCTACGGAGATTCGGCTGGAGATCGTCCTGCCAACAGGGATTGGCGGTGGAGGTGGGACAGAAGGGAGCCTGCTCTCAGGGAGCGTTTATCTCCTGAATTTCTGTCGGCCTCTTGGTTATTCTATGCAGTCTTCATTAGCAGAGAAGAAAAAGAACTTTGGTGCTTAATGTACTGATGAGCAGCTTTTGACCCCACCTCAGGATAATGGCGGCAGCTTTGTTTCAGTGACCTCAGAATGTAGTTTTGGAAGCAGCAAAGGTCCTTACCTGACCATGTGATAGGAGCTAAACCAGACACACGCTCGGTAACGCCCCCCCCCCCAAACAAAGTGGTGATGCGATGTAGTTGTGTGTGTGTTTCCTTGTGTTATTTTTTTTTTCCAGATCGTTTCTAGTATTGTTTTTTTTTTGAACATCAAAGATGCTCTTACTTGATAGGTTTATTTTTTTCCTGGAGAAAACCTCATTCTAGCAAACAAGCGTATTGGTTTATGTCTCCAAGCTTTAAAGTCAAAGGACAGACAAGAGAAGTACACACATCTGTTTTGTAAGGACGCCCCATGTGGTTTGTGTAATACCTCTGGTTCGGCATTTTACTGCGTTTTCTTGGTAACAGACCGGATTTGTATGTAACATTGATTTGAGCCAATTCTCACTGGTTATGCCTGGTGATTTAAGTTTTATGCATTGTCTTATGCAATAAAACGTTTTTGTCTTCACAAATTTCAAGATTGTGAGTGGCGGTTCTTATTGTCTGCTTGAGAGGGGGAGCAAGGCAGAACGTCAGGAGAATTCCAGTCCAGTCAGTGTTTATGGTATTATTTTCATTTGTAGACTTGGCATTCCTGATTTGAACCAGATGCCTCTTAAGTCTTTTTGATTTTCCAGCATTCGGAAGCACTAGGTGGCGGTGTGAGTTAGCACAACTGATCTGTCACCTTTGGAAACCCGCTGAGTTTAAATCTTGATGGGCCTTCCCTTGAGGGTTTTGAATTCTGCCAGCTCACATTATGCTTGGCACTGGCTATTAGTATTAGTTTCTCACTTTCAAAGGCCCTAGGACAGATTAAACCCCACAAAGCAACTAATAGAAAACAAAACTCTGCAGGCCAAGACATTTGGTCTGAAAAATCTCACCTAAGTAAGATTATAGCATACTGTAGGAAATCTGTTACTAACTTCAAATTAAAGACTACTGTGAAGTATTGTTTTTGAAAAAAACTGACTTGAATACCAGATGATTTAAAGACTCAGTGCATTTTTCTTGTTTCTATCTGTAAAAAGTCACAGTTGGTATACATTAGTTGAAATTAAAAATAAGCCTTGTTTTTGCGAAGAAACTGTATCACCACAAAATGTGAGAAAGTAGAATTAAACATAGGACATGTACTTGAATTCTTGAAGTTTTCCTTTATTTCAGGTCATCTAGTAAAATCTTGGTTTTGGAAGGTTTAATGAACTCTTCTGATGGGTAATTTGAATCCTTAGAGCAGACTTTCCGGTTCTTTGTCACCAAAATCTGTTCATTTTTCTTTTCTCTGTTTGTTCTTAATCAGAATTGTTTGAGGAGAAGAGATGCTGGTTTGTTGAATCAGTTGCAAGAACTTGACAAGCAGATAAGTGACCTGAGACTAGATGTAGAAAAAACATCTGAAGAGCACCTGGAGACAGACAGCCGGCCTAGCTCAGGTGAGTGAGTGAACACAAGGCAGTATTCTGCACTCGTGAGTTATACCTTGGCTCCCTGTAAATGGCAATGGGGTTTGTTTCCAGTGTAGACAGAATTTAAAAAAGCTTCAGTTGCATGAGAGGGAAATAAAGTCAGACAATAAAATTTTTAATAATGAGATTGACGTGACTGGAGACTCCTGAGTTTAAAAATAAAAGCTATTCAAATTTCTGGAACAGTGGTCCTTCTTTGAAACTTGAGTAAGTCAGAACTGGGCTAGAAAATTAGTCACACTTCAACTTCCTGAGACCACTTCAAAAGTTTTTTTTTTTTTTTCTTTTAAAACCATTTGGCTCCTTAAATAGATATTTTTTTCCTCTTAAAGTTATTCCTTTTGAAATATTCATAATAAAGTTGAGGCTTTAATGACCTAAGTTTCTTTCTTTGCACATGTTTAAAGGGGCAGGGTCAAGAAGGAAGGTCAGTTTGAGGGTGAGAGTAACTTTGAAATGTACCCATAGTTAATGGCTGTTTGCTTTTTCCTAGGAATTGTTTGACATAAGATTATAAAATTAGAACACTAAAATCTTGTTAACCAAAATTGACTAATAACAAAATTAAAAACCCCCAAACTCCCCCTTTCCTACCTAGATAATTACCCCTTTCCTTTTAAGCATGAATGTGTATTATTCTTTGACATGATAATTCCAATGGTGTTTTTATTTGTAGGGTTTTATGAACTGAGTGATGGGGCTTCAGGATCCCTTTCTAATTCCTCTAACTCAGTGTTCAGTGAGTGTTTATCCAGTTGTCATTCCAGCACCTGTTTTTGCAGCCCCTTGGAGGCAACCATGACTCTCTCAGATGGTTGTCCCAAATCTGCAGGTAAGAACTTTTAGCATTGATAGAAATTCTTAATTGGAAGAGGTTGAGGGCCCTTAAAGGTTATTTAGCTCCAACATCTTTTACTGATGGAAAAACAAATGTTAATCAATTTACTGAATTTAGTGCCTTACTTAATCTAGACCCTAGTTTCATCTAGGTGAATATCTAAAGCTATTCCAGCATTTTTTGACTGCTGCTTGGCTTTATATTCTGATAGAAGTGAGATAGTTTATCTTTAGGGATCCTGTCCCAATATTATAGGCCTTGTACTATGTATCTGATCCTTTGCTGTTAGTTTAACTTGTCTGCATTTCTTTTTTGTTTTGAAAATCATTCTAGAACTATTTTCTTCTTCCTTTAATCATTTAAAGGTGAAGTTGACATTAAGTGAAATATGTCTGCCATCCTGGCCAAGAACTGCTTGACACTTCAGGGAATAGTAGTCCCTCCGTATTATCCAGAATGCCCTGAATGGTGGCAGCTCACTTTTCCTTTAGCAGGTGGTTGGGATGAGCTCCTCCTAGGCTGCATGTCATTATTCCTTGGGCTGCCTTGCAAGGATCCCCAGGCAGAGTCATTGTTGCTGCTAGAAGAGTTCCTGACATTCCACCACATGTCACACACTGGACTGGATACTCTGTTGTTACCTCCACTTTGTGTTAAAAAAAGAGCTTTAGTGAGGTTACCTAAGTTATTTAAGGCTCTATGGCTAGTAAGTAGCAGAGGAGGGTTTAAGCTCAGGCCTAATTTCCAGGTTCATTTATTTCTGCCACCCCAAGGGAATTCAGAAATTCATCTAACAGAGGAGGAATTTTGGTTTATAAGCTTTTTGTCAGAGGCTCCCCATCAGCTGTATGACAGAGTTGTTGCTGGAATCCAGGACTCTTTGCTTAGTCTGGATTTTCCAAAAGAACAGAGAAAATAAAGAGATTAGAGTTGCTATAGGCCAGATGCTGGCATGAGTCACTCCAATCCTGGCTTGTCTGTGCTTTCCACTTGGATATAAAGCTGAATTTTTGAGTCCAGGTAGCACCCAAAGCAGCTGAGGTGTCTAATTGGCTCTGGTGTCTATGTATTTGAACAGTATGTGTTGTCAGCAGCAATCATTTGGGGAAGCACAGAACTGTGTTATCTAGAGTGTTTGGGCCTCAAGTTCACTGGTAATTGCTCTTCTTCACTCTGCACCTCTGGTTTCAGAGGGAAAATTTATAAACCCATTAAAGTCAATTTGTAGAGATTTTCCTTGAAGACAGACCCCCTTCTCCCAAATGCCACATCCTCAGATAATTGAGACAGTTGCACTGGGCCTTGGGGACTAGGATATGTTTTGTTTAAATAGGGAAAAAGGATTAATTGGTGAAGCCTATGTAAATGTGGCTTTAAATAAGGCAAAAAAGAGGCTTAGGGTGGTGGGAGTGAGGGGTAGAAAAGGAAGTTAACTGGAGAGGCCACAAGCTGTTTATTGAGGATCAAGTGGTAACATGACACTTGTATTATAATCTTTCCTTTATAAATATAACCATATCATCTGAGTCTAGACTGTTTTTTCTCTGAGACTGCTAATTATCTTTAAAGTCGATTTAAAGTCGATGGAGCTTTCTCTTAATTAACAGAACCTGACACATAGTATATTTTCAATATTTGAATTAATAAATACAACTATAATGGAGGACAAATTAATGCTACACTCAACGTTAACCTTCTCTGATAACTAAAGGGCATTGAAAGGATTTGAAATTTATAATATTCACCAAGAGATCAAAATACTTGAAGCACAGAAGTGTGATTTCATTGTATTTTGACATCTACGTTTTTGAGATGTGAAAAATTCATCCATTAATAATTAGTATCAATTTTTAAAAATCTTACCAAGAAACAGTATTTTTTTTAGTGCCACTATTTCGAACATAAGATGATGATTATTTAAGTTTGATTAGTGTTTACTGAAATTTGCTCAGTTTCCCTGACCTCTCAATTGAAAAATTATATTTGTACAGATATCATTAGGAATTATGTTTAAAAGAAATATAAAATGAGATAGCCCACAGAAAGTATAGTTTATCCTAAGTATTTTAGGAAAACCAGGAATAGAATAGAGGGCAGAGTAGTAGCCTAGAGAAATAATGATTCAAAAAGCATTTATTTTTCCCAGTTATAAAGTTAGTAGTTATTTCTGAAAATTTAGAAAATGAAGGTAAACATCACTTGCTTTCTCATCACACTGAAATGCCATTGATTAGAATCTTGGTTTGCTTCATCATAGAATTTTTTGTATACACAGAATCTTAATAAAATTCTAATTGTATTGTAATATTGTAATTTAAAATGGTTTCCCTATATTATTCGGTAGTTTGAAATCATTCTTAATGGTTGAATATTTTTCCTTTAAAAGATGTATCATACCTTGTCAAATTTTGTTAAATATTTTTCTCTCATCCAGTACTATGAAGTGTAATGTGACATGGTAGACTGGCTAGTGGAATATTTTAAAATCCTTTGGCATTTTCTCTCTACCCATGAATTTGTCTTCATAAAAATTGTCCAAAGAGCTAGAGTGCAGTGGTACATGCCTGTAATTCTAGCACTTTGGAAGGCTAAGATGGGAGGGTTGCTTGAGGTGAGGAGTTTGAAACTAGCCTGGACAAACCCCATCTCAACAACAACAAAAAAAAAAATAAAAAAATTAGCCAGGCCTTTTGAAAGATGCCTGTAGTCCCAGCTACTAGGGAGGCTAAGGTAGAGGATCACTTGAGGGCCTGGGGTTGGAAGTTGACTGCAGCACTGATGATGCCACTGAACTTTAAGTTGGGCAACAGAAACTATCTCTTAAAAAGAGTAAATTGGCCAAATTTCACTTCTTCAGAGTGTCCCTTTAAATGTTTTTTAGTCTCATAGGGTGGTTAGAATATAAAGAAGGCCACTGTGAAGACCAGGCCTAGGGGTAGTTTGTCCTTTCATCTGCACACCGCAATTTCATGCTCTTGATGTCATTGCAGATGTGAATCCCAAGTACCAATGTGATCTGGTGTCTAAAAACGGGAATGATGTATATCGCTATCCCAGTCCACTTCATGCTGTGGCCGTGCAGAGCCCAATGTTTCTCCTTTGTCTGACCGGCAACCCTCTGAGGGAAGAGGAGAGGCTTGGAAACCATGCCGGTGACGTGTGCGGTGGATCTGAGCTTGTTGCCATCCAAACAGACAGCTCCTTACCGTCTCCAAGCAGCTTATGGTCTGCTTCGCATCCTTCATCCTCTAAGAAAATGGATGGCTACATTTTGAGCCTGGTCCACAAAAAAACACACCCTGTAAGGACCAACAAACCAAGAACCAGTGTGAATGTGGACCCCACGAAAGGGCTTCTGAGGAATGGGAGCGTTTGTGTCAGAGCCACTGGGGGTGCCTCACAGGGTAATAGCGTGAACCTTAAGAATCTAAAACAGGCGTGTCTGCCCTCCAGTGGAATACCCTCTTTGGACAATGGGACATTCTCCCCTCCGAAGCAGTGGTCAAAAGAGTCAAAGTTAGAACAAGGGGAAAGCAAGAGATTGCCCCCGTCCGAGGGCTGCTCGCCAGCTGTTGCCTCCGAACTTCAAAGCAAGCATCTACCCAAAAATGCCAAGCCAGCCTCCCAAGAGCATACTCGGTGTCCCCCCTCTGGGACAGGGGAGCCCCTTAAGGAGAGTACTCCACCCTCCGCTGCCTCTCAGAAAGAGAGCCCTGGCAGTGGCCCCGCCGCCCTACCAGAGAACAGGGTGGCCCAGCCCCTGAAAAAGATGTCACAGAAAAACAGCCTGCAGGGTGTTCCCTCGGCCGTACCCCCTCCACTGCTGTCCCCAGCTTTCTCCATGGAAGAGAGGCCTGTCCTGGATTTCAAAAGCGAGGGCTCTTCTTCCCAAAGCCTGGAGGAAGGACAGCTGGTCAAGGCTCAGTTCATCCCCGGGCAGCAGCCGGGCGCCAGGCCGCACCGGGCCCACAGGAGCGCGGGCGGCAAGGGCCCCACCCTGAAGCAGCGCGGCCAGGCGCTGCAGGGGCTGGACAACGGCTTGCCCACCGTCAGGGAGAAACCGCGCACAGGGAGCAAGAAGTGCCGCTTCCCCGAGGACTTGGATCCCAGCAAGAAACTGAAGAAAGCCGCCTCCAAGGGCCGCAGGGGCGGGGGCGCGCCCGAAGCCGGCCTTCCCGGCAGGCCCCTGGGCGGCGGCGCCAGGGCGCACGGCCACGGCCGGGAGCCGGTGGTGGCCAAACCTAAGCACAAGCGAACCGACTACCGCCGCTGGAAGTCCTCCGCCGAGGTGTCCTACGAGGAGGCGCTGCGGCGGGCCCGGCGGGGGCGCCGGGAGCGCGCGGCCTACCCCGCGCGCGCGCCCTTCGCCAGCCCCTACGCCTACGCGGCCAGCGACTCCGAGTACTCGGCCGAGTGCGAGTCGCTCTTCCACTCCACCGTGGTGGACACCAGCGAGGACGAGCAGAGCAACTACACCACCAACTGCTTCGGGGACAGCGAGTCGAGTGCCAGCGAGGGCGAGTTCGTGGGGGACAGCACGACCACCAGCGACTCGGAGGAGAGCGGAGGCTTAATTTGGTCCCAGTTCGTCCAGACGCTCCCGATTCAGACGGTCACGGCCCCGGGCCTTCGCCACAACCCCACAAAAACCTTTGTCAAAATTAAAGCTTCACATAACCTCAAGAAGAAAATCCTCCGCTTTCGGTCCGGCTCTTTGAAGCTGATGACCACGGTTTGAGTGATGATGTGGGTGTAGAAAAATTCCCTCCCACATCTCCCCAGGTGCCAAAATAAAGGAGGCATCTTCATTTTTGTGAAATAATCTTAAGGAATGCTTTTCTTTTAAGATAAAACCAAGGTAATTATTTGTCCCATCTTCATCTCGTATAGACACTAGTGCCTTTAATGGAAGGTAAAGAATGTTTTGCTAGTTAGAATATTGAGGTTTCGATGGTGGAGATAGTGAATGAGTTTTGTGGTGTCAGCTGTTTCAAGGTATAGGTTTCAATGCTCAAGTTTATCAGGGTGAGACTTTGTGAACCCCAAGGTCAGGTGGATGGAATGCAGGACATACCTTTGCTCCTTGATTCTTCAGGGCAGCGTCCCCACTAGGGTTCTCCCTGGAGGGGCATCACGTACAATTGCGTGACGTAGGTACGAGGGGCAGTCGCTGT